CAGCATGACCTCGTGCTTCCGTATGACTCGCAGACATCCAGCAGCACCACCGTAGGGTCCCTCGTGGCAGGCCTACAGCTCCTCGACCGAAGGGTTCCTGATGGCAACAGCGATCCCCTTTTATTCCCGGGACCCTCCCCCACCGGCCCGAACGCCACCCGCCCCGGACCTCGGCTCCAAAACACTTTTTCGGCCCCGGTCGCACTCGCAGACATAGGGCAGCACCGACCCATGTCGACCTATGGCTGAAACCACACACCCACGTGGTCACGGATCGACCCCCGAACCCGTCCTTCTTCAAATAACCAAACGTCTCCATATGGCTAAAGTCGTTCCTGACGGCTCCGGTGACCCCCCCACATCGCCTCCGACCCCCCCACACCTCCATCCCGCATTTGGAAACGCCTTCTCCGTTCGCCTGAATCCACATGTCCGGAATGAGCCCAAACGGCGGCACCCCAGAATCCGGAGAAACCCTCTGAACGACCCGGACCCTTCCAAAACTAATACAAGAGCTCCCCCAAGTGTGTCTGGGACGACACTACACATCCGCCAGAATGGCTGAAACTGATCCCCCGTTCCCCATTCAAATGCCGCAGAGTGCCAAACATTTCAATCGCAACCCTTGGCATCACTTTCCGCCATGGCGCAGCACGATTACATTATAACCCTCGACATACGGGACTAGTGGTCCTAACCAGTTTCTAACCATTTTCTAACCTGGTTTTAACCATTTTCTAACCTGGTTTTAACCATTTTCTAACCTGGTTTTAACCAGTTTCTAACCTGGTTTTAACCCGTTTCTAACCAGGCGCTGATCTGCCTGGTGGATAAGAAGACGGGCGAGAAGAGCAAGACGCGGCCGCGCTTCGTGAAGCAGGACCAGGTGTGCATCGCCCGGCTGCGGGCCGCAGGCGTCATCTGCTTAGAAACCTTCAAGGATTTCCCCCAGATGGGACGCTTCACTCTGAGAGACGAAGGTGAGACGCCGTCGGCCATTTTGAGGCCGTTTTCTGGTCCCTTCATGTGACGCTGGATTCATGACCTGCAGGCTGGAAATGGGAACTTTCAAGTTTAGATAAAACCTCAATTAAAGGCAGAAACGTTTCCCGCCTGTAATCATTAGTCACCAAATCTACATCCTGGATCTTATTTTCGACTGAGAGGAATTTGGTTTTACCTTCAGATGCCAGCTGATCTCCATCTCTGGTTCTTAATGTTTGGCTCAGATAAATTAGACACAAAACTTTAAGGAACCTGCTGATCAGAACCGAAACGTAAAAACCTGCAGACGCTGAAGTTCACAAACCGTTAAATAACCTGCAGTTGATTATATTCCTTATCTGATGATTGAGTTTTGATTTAGTTATTTAGATGAAGGGAGAAGAAGAAATGGAGAAAAAAACCAAAGACAAAAAGAAAAATGGAGGTAAAAATGGGGAAAGAGAAGAAGGAAAAAAGATACTTTAGATCAGAGGTTCCCAAACTGTGGGGCGCGCCCCCTAGGGGGGGCGCCATGTCATTGCAGGGGGGGCGCGGGAAGCCGTCTGGATGAAAACAAAACAAAACATGAACACTGTATGCGCTGGGTTTTTACCTTAGA